TATATATATATATATATATATATATTGCTACGACGTTCGTTATGTTATATGTTTTTACTTTGTAAATGTTAATGCTATTGTTTACGTACATCTTAAATGAAAGGCCGATGAATGTAACATTCATGTGAGGTAAATCTAACAATGCGCAAATAACAAAGAATGTTCATAGCGCCAACGGCCAGTGTCTTCTCTCGACACATCAACCATAAGTAAGTATCATAAACATAGTGGAAAATTCATTATGCCACGGTGATTTGTGTCGGCGCGTGCTGTAATTTCTTTGACATAAGGGATATAGATTTTTCGAAACATTCTTAAATTTCTTTCTGTACTGCAGCACAGCTGTTAAAAAAATTATAAATTATTAAAATTATCGGGAGATAAAGTTTTCATAAAGGAAAAAATCAAAAATTACTTACAAAGTTCTGGATTGTAAACGGTAGAATCTTTTCCAAACTCGCCATTGCCGAAGCAGCCTACTAGAGGTACTTCGGGAAATAATCTTTTGAATATTGTTGACTCCACATTTTCCTCGTGATACATATATTTTCCGCGTGCTACACAAGCAAACATAAAGCCCACAGAATGTTTCTGTAATTTTACTTGCTGCTTGAATAATTTTAACTTTTCTTCGACTTGCTCCTTTGTTTTGCATTTCCTGTTCACAACTATAGACCACGTCTGTATAGAACCAGTAAGCAAAAGAGCAACACAATATGGTTTAGCAACATTACTTTCTTCTTCGATGAATCTTTCATTATTAATGTGTACATATTGCATTTCCTCTACCACACCACCCCACAAAGAAATTATTCTTTCATCATTACTGAGTCCATGCAAACAATAAACACATGTTATTCTTTATTATTATTCACTATGAGAGATATATACAAGTATATAATTTATTGCTAAAATAAATCTAATTACCTTAGTCGTGCAAGTGAAGCCATATACGATCCCATACTATGACCATAACGATTGCAAAATAACATTAAACACGTAGACTCATCATCTTGTCTGGATGCTTCTTCAATCATCTGCATATATTCTGTATATTTATCTCCTCCCAATGCTCTGTCTGTTACTTTAACCACACTTATCTTGACGTTCGGGATTTGTGGTAAAAGTGCACACACCATATTTGGATATGGATGTTCCATCTCATTATTATTCAGAATAATACTATGTGTAAATAGCATTATGGCCTCACAATTTTTGGGAAGTAATTCACAGATACGACCTTAAAAAGAAGCAAAAGATTGAATTTAACATACATAACTCTATTAATGGAAATAAGTAAAAATAGACAGAATAATAAGCATAGTAGAATAGAAAAAGAATCTGATACATTTATAAAAGTTATTTGTCATAAATTGTCTTAGAGTGAAATTGTGATTTGTTTCTACTGAGTTATTTTTTATTTATTTGGATACTTCATAATCCAAACTTTATATCTAATTATTAAAGAATTTATATATAAAAAAATTTAATACTTTTTATATCATGTGGTGTCTCCAAGGATAGAAAAAAAAATCCTATAGATGGTTTAATGGTTGACTCTTTGATATAGTCTAAACTTTGTGCCAATCTTTTTTCATGTGAGGCACAAATATCCACCGGCTTGTAATGTTCTATAAAGCAATAAGGTCCTCTTAAGCATTTTTCATTATTTGCAGCTTCTAACCAAGATCTATAAGGAATAAATATGTATTCAATATTATTTTTAGCTCATATCATGTGCTTCTTACGTACATCACAGTTAACAGTAGCGTTAAATATTACTACTAAATAATATTTACTAATTTAAACATAAACTTTCAAAGACAGAAAACAATACATCTCAAAACAATATGCAAATAAGTTGGAAATAATTAAAAAGTTTTTCATATAAAATTTTTATATAAATCTGAATCAATTTTCGAAAAAATAAATTTTATAAATTGAAAATTTAGTAATATATTTATATCTATTCAAATAATATGTAGGAAACTTTATGTCAAATGTGAAACGCAAGTATAAAATTTGACATAACCTTTTTGGTTGTATTAAGTGTTAAGGATTAAACTCAGTGTCAATCTTAATAGATTATTAGCATTGTACCTGCAAACCATTGCAACGCTCGACAGGTCCCTGCCATTTAAATATCGAAAAACAATTCTTAAAATATCGTAAGTTAAGCAGACATTAGAACCAAGTGGATCCTCGTAAGTTTGCTCATATTTTTGCTCATATTTTTGCTCGTAACTTTCCTCATAAATATCGACTTCGAGAGGCAATTCAATTCGAATTCTCTTTTCCTCTGGCTCTTCCATTAATAATTCGTGATTTAAAACAGTCACGTGTTAAATTTCACGACAATAAAACGCGATGTGTTACTTTCACGAAAAAGCAAACACACACGTAAATACGCCGTTTACATCATGGCTGTATTACAGCTGCTGTTGGCTGCTGTAATCATACTATACATCATGATGGACACATTAACGCTTTACACTTCCGGTTGAAAAGTTTCAGAACGAATATATCATTTATATATGCGTAAAATGTCTATTAGTTAAAAATTCTAAAATTATTTAAACAACTTGTCAACTGATTAAGAAGTTGATTAATCAATTTAAAACAAACTTCTAAATCGGAAGTATAAGTCATTGATCTAGGCCTGGTATAACACGCACATTATGAACGTACATATATTTTGTATGTACAATTATGACTAAAAATTTTTCGAGAAATAAGATAATAAAAAAATGTATGAATTATCTTGCTATGTTTTCAAGCTACAGAAGCAACATCTAAATTAATCTTCACACTCATATATTAATGACATGCACAGGATTTACCATAAAAAAGCAATTTTTTGTTTATTAAAATTGAGGGAAGTGTTTTATAAAATTTTATTATGATAAGATCAATTTTATAAAATTATACAGAATTATACAGAATTATACAGATATACTTTTAGATAATTTCCTAATCAGTAGAGAATGTATCACGTACAGTCATGTTTGGTATTGTTACAATACCTGGTTGAATATACCGTATAGACATTGACACATAAGCTAATACTATTTGAGAACCTTTTGCATCCTGCTGCAAGCGATTCAGCTCAACTGGTTGGAGAAACGAGTTTTCTTTCCTGTAATTTAAGTTAAAAATTACCGAATGTTAATAATGCTTTCAAAGATACCTCAAGTATATATTTTCCTTCTTATTAATGAAAGATACCTTATCACCACCAGACTATACAATGGTTGACCAGGATTCGCTTTTCTATAGTGATGAGTACAGGAGTACACATTGTACGATATCTTATACCTGCACCTCTTTCTCCTAACTGTCCTTTCCGGCGCTGGTTTTATTATAGCGAGCTTATTAAAGATCTCCGCCAACGAAGATGCATTTCTCGGACCGACTAATGGATTGATAAGCTTCACAACTTGCACTTCATTGCATTCTTCCTCACTTTCATTCTTATTTTTATTATCTTCATCGTCAATTATAATAGTTTTCTCTTCCGACCATCTCCTTTTCAGTTCCGTCCACGAACTAGCTCCTGGATAAGTCGTAAAGGAGCACCGATTAATGACTTCGCGACTGACCTGGTCTTTCCTATTAGCGTAATTCTGTCGTTGTCTTGGATAGTTGGGATGCGCACTGCCTTGCATCGACGTATTCTCCACCATCGTTCTTCGCGTTTCATAGAATCTCTGTTGCCATGAAAAATTCTGATGAAAACTGTGCCGAAATTGATTATCCACAGAAATATGTCTCATTCGATACCCATCCATGACCGGTATTGAAAAATTGTTCATCATTATAGTGAAATTTCTACTTTGCTGAAGGGTATTCCTGAGATTCCCAAGGACAATGGATAAATTGTGAAACGCATCTTGCATGATCCTACTCTGCATATAAACGTTTGGACTGTAATTGAAGGGAAATCTGTAAGGCATGCCGATGTTCACACTACGCATTTCATCTTGTGCAGGATAAAACGGCCGTGACGGACTACACAATAACGGACGCGAATGTTGATTCTGAAAAGCAATACTTCTGTTATGCACAACAGCAGAATTTCTAAACTGAGATGTATTTTGTCTCGTATTGGTTCTTATATTTTTGCAATTCTGTCGTGTCCTTTTGTCATCCTCTTGCATGCGTAATATCTGCATCCGATTATAGAAATAAGTACTTTTCTGAGGTTTTATAGTGTGTGGTATGTATCGCCTGGAAATATTTTCAACAGTACGATTTTGAAAGGCGATATTCGGTAGCATATTCAATATTTCTTTTCTTGTCATGCAATGCGGTAATTCCTGAATCTCATCATCAGACAGCTCGATTACCTGATTGAAGAAAAGATTATTTTATAAATAATATAGTAAAAAGAATGACAAATGTTTGAGAATCTTACCTCATGTTTTTTCACAGGTGACAATTCGCTAACTTGCTTCCTTTTCTCTGGACTTCTGGAACTTTCATTTGCGATACCAGAATCAATTATAGAAATTTCAGGTGATATTTTATCTGTCCTTTTAGGTAATTGCTTAACATTACGTTGTATGCGAGCACCTGGCCATTTGGATACTTTACAAGGTTCTTTCTTAGAATTACATGAGTCTTTATAAATTTTAATATTATCTAGCAAAGTCTCATCGGAAATTATTTCAGGTTTAGAATTTCGATTTTTTTCTTCATTCATATTGCTTTGTATTGCATTGTTTTGCATTACGACAGAAGTAACTGGATTATTTAATTCTACATCGTCTTCAATAGTGCATAAAAGTTTATCTACTACATCATGCACTACTTGTTCTACAGACTCTCCTTCTGTTTTGTCATTTTTTGTATTAAAATTATCAAAAGATGTATTTGATATCTGCGACATATCTTCCGACAAAGTTTCTTTTAATTTTTTGTTGGTTGGATTTTGTAATTGACTATCGCACATTCTTAATCCATTGTTTGGATCAACAATAATTTTCCGTTTAATGGTAGTAGACTCATCTGATCTAGTGCACTTCTTAGATTCCTCAGAAAAATAACGCTGTATATGGTAACCATAGCGTGTTAATTGACTATAAACCCTATATTCTTCAAAAGTACATACTGAATCATCAATTAATATTTCATATGCCTGTTGAATTGAGCATGGTACTCCATTCCAAATAAGTTCAAGACAATTCTGCAACATAAGAATATTTTTCTAAAATTTTTTTTTCAACATTGAACATTATATAAGTTATTAAAACTTTGTAAAAAAATACAAATTTTATATACAAATATATATATTTTACATATAAATTTTAGAAAACCTACCTTTTCCATAAGAAATAGTGCCTCCTCTGGTAACAAGTATAAGGAACCATTCTTTTCTAGGCCAAAATTATTCCAATCCTGACCAGATCTTTTGACAACAAGAGCCTTTTTTTGATCTGGTATCCACTCAGCACTAGCTAATTCTGAGATACGTTCAACTCTTTCAATATTTAATAAATCTTTATGATGTTTAAGTCCCTTTTCAATCTGAACATTTTGGAGCCAAGTGTTATTAGGTTCAAAATGCTTCTTTCCATTTGTGGGTAAAATTTTCTGAGATCTTTCCCAACCTTCTAGTACGCAACTCCTAAAACCTTTGCTGCGTAGCAGTTCTTCTGCTCTGTTTACAAAAAAATGTGTAATTTTTATTTAACTATATAAATGCAAATTTTCGTTATAGATATTATATACATATATCAATAAATAATTATGTTGTTGCGTGAAATAGTCAATTTAATTAATCTTTTCACAACATAAATATTTATTGAGATGTTTTGAAAATTTTTTCCTTATATAATTACAATTGAAATAAGATAACATGACTCTTTTGTGCTTAAATAATGTAAATTAAACTATATCAATTGCTTAATTAACTATATTTAATAAGTTTATAAGTAATAAGCTGTCGTATAAAAACAACAAATTATCAACTCGTAAACTTACGTCAGCACATTGCTAGATAATTTTTCACATGTTTCTTCCATAATAATACATAAATATTTGTGACAAATAATATTATAAAATACATAAAACGTGACAAGTTATTTCAAATTGTATATATTGTATAAATATAACGCAAATAGCGCAGCGGTGACACCGATAAGACCGATGTTACAACATTATATAGATTCGACTCCACCCTTATGGGTTTCTCTTTATGGTCGTCCACAAAGTAGCAAATTTCTATTTTTGATGAATTTTGGAACGCGCACAATTCTGTCAAAGCTCTCATTCGCTGTGCAATCAATCGAATTCTCAGATGGCGCTAACAATACCTATATATATATACATTTTTCTACAAGAGTTTGACGACTCTGTTTTCCAGTCCAATTCCAGTCGATCGAGGAGTCGATCGAAGTCGATTACGCCACTTATCCTCTTGATTGATCGTAATTATTTTAGGATATTAGATATCAAAGAATCTTTTTTTATTCTTTTGCTATTAATAAACATATTGAAGAAAAATGGTAAGTTTTCTGCATATATGATATGTTAGAGTTTGCAGTAATTCGTAGATTCGTAGATTAGATCTGTTACTACCATATCCTTGGTAGAATTTATCTGTAGTTCACCTTAGTTTGACCTTCACTTAAAGAATTTTAACATTTAGCATGTTAATTCACTTACCAATGATTCCTCAAGTATATATGTTTCATATCCCTCCAATTTAAATTGAACCGCACTTGTTTTGTATGATATATAATTTTAATGAATAAGATAATCTATATATAAGTAGAATGTTAGAAAATTTATCAAACTTTATATTTTGTTTAGTGCCTTTGAGGAATAAATAGGTGTAGAATAATTCAGCATACCACTAATTAGCATTATAAAACTTGAAAAATATAATTACAAGCATGAATTTATATTTTTTAATTTAATATTAATTATAAAATATTTTTTTTATCAGGCGGAACCCATAAATGTTGTGGTCACTGGTGCTGCTGGGCAAATTGCCTATTCTCTACTGTACCAGATTGCAGCTGGTACAGTTTTTGGTTCAGAACAACCCATTAATCTTCGGTTATTAGATATTGCTTCCATGATGACCGTTCTGGATGGTATAGTTATGGAACTGGAGGATTTAGCTCTTCCTCTAGTACGAGGTGAGCAACAAAAGTTCTTTGGTCTAAAAACTAAACTTTTAAATAAGATATGAAATATTGCTCCTAAGTTATCATTTGTATGCACCAATACATATGTTATACACATGATATGATATATATGATAAGTTAGAATAAGGATATAAAACTTAATATTAATTTTAACTAAGATCTATACAGTTGTAACATAAGAAAGTTTTTTTGACATAACAGCAAAAGGAATTATTTTCTTATTAATTTTTTGCAAAATAATTTAGTAAAGAAATTCTTACACATCTGTCAATGAATATATAATTTAAAGAGTACAGATTTAGAATACAGACTAAAATACTCATATTACACAAATATGTTACATAATATCTATGTAAATATGGTTTATTCTGAGCATGTCGAGTGTGCAAAATTGTAAACTGAATTTAAATTTGTAGAGGTTTTGCCAACTGCTGATCCAGCCAAAGCTTTTAATAACGTAGCTGCTGCTTTCTTGGTTGGCGCAATGCCACGAAAAGAAGGAATGGAACGTAAGGATCTTTTGGCTGCAAATGTGAAAATTTTCAAGGTGCAAGGTGAAGCATTAGATACATATGCTCGTAAGGATGTCAAGGTGCTAGTTGTGGGTAATCCTGCTAACACCAATGCGCTCATTTGCTCGCATTATGCACCATCCATTCCAAAAGAAAATTTCACTGCAATGACTAGATTGGATCAAAATAGAGCACAGGCAGCAATAGCTGCACGATTAAATGTGCAGGTAATATATATTGTTACTTAAGACACTTAAAACGTTGTTATGACTTTTTACAGTTCTATATGTAATCCATATGATAACAGGTTGATAAAGTGAAGAATGTTATTATCTGGGGTAATCATAGCTCTACGCAATATCCTGATGCTGGGCATGCAACTGTAGAGCTCTCATCCGGCGTGAAAGCGGTACCGTCTGAGATTAACGATGACGAATGGTTGAATAATGCCTTCGTAGAATTGATACAAAAACGCGGCGCTGCTGTAATAGCTGCTCGAAAAATGTCTTCCGCCATGTCCGCCGCTAAAGCTGCTGGAGATCATATGAGAGATTGGTGGTTTGGTACTAAGCCTGGAGAATGGGTCAGCATGGGTGTTGTATCTGATGGAAGTTATGGAATTCCAAAAGACGTCGTATTTTCCTTCCCTGTTACTATCAAAGACAAGAAATATGATATCGTGCAAGTAAGTTACCATGAAATTACAAAGATAAATACACGACATAAATATACGATTTATCAGTGTCTCGGAGTCCCCCTTCTTCTTCAAGAATCATGTTTTAAAAAAGAATTCAAATTAATTCGTTCTAAATTATGCATATGTAAAAAAACTCGAAAAAATTACGATATTCTTGGAAAAGAAACAAAAAATGATAAGCATTTTCAACGCTTTAATTTACTATCTGTGCGATTTTAAATTTCATAATTTTCTTAAGAAACATAAAATTTGTAACAGATATTTTGAAGATAGAATGATTTTTTAATTTTATTTTTGTAATGAAAGTAAATATTGTTTCATTAAGAGCAAATACACAATCACCATATATTATAAATGTACAAGAAACTAACAAAGCTCTAAATATTTTATTTATCTATTTTCAGAACCTTTCAATCAGCAACTTTGCAAGATCAAAACTGGATATTACATCTAAAGAGTTAGAGGAAGAAGCTGCCGAAGCAAACAATGTTTTAAAAAAGTGACTAGTAGTACAGAACAACGAAAAGGAATTTGTATCAGCAAAACTGTAAAAGATATAGATAATACTGTACTACTACATATATACAACACATACAACATAAACACATACACATACGCGCGCGCAAAATGTTCTAATTCACGAATAAAAATACTACAGCAAAACAATTTTTTGTAAATTAAGAAAATTCTTACGATTTTTTATTTCACACGATAATTTTTGAAAATACTAGCATTTAAAGAAGGCCAATCACAGACTACAGTTAAACTTATGTTTATCCGTGATCGGTTTCACGATTATTTTTTTCTAAATACGCTGTCGCGTATTTAGATCACGAAATAAAAACATATCGCTGCAGTATTTTTATACTTGAATATTTGAACGCTAATACGTAATTTGATGTAAACACTAAGTAAACCAAACAGTTTGAATAGAATGTTATTTTGAAAGTGTTAATGTATAGATGATTATCAAAGTGTAAATGTTACAGATGCTACTATGAGTAGAGCATTAGCCAAATTATATATGATAGGAAAATATATATATAGTTGAAATGTAAACGTATATATATATATACTTTCTAATAATGTGTATATATATATATATATATATATAGACTTTCTTTGTAACAAAGGTATGTGGGAAAACATATACTTTATAGCATTTTTATTTTTATTCATCTTTCCTAGGGGAATAATTTATGTTACAGTAATGGTAAGTTTTTTTTAATATTAATGTCCAATTTTTTTCCTCATATTTCTATATTTATATCTTACTTTCTAGAAAAGTTATCATTACAACTATCTCGAGTCTTTTCTATTGTTGTAATTGTTGTATGAGCATTAAATAGCATATTATACAAAGATGTATTTAGTTTGTCCGATCATGGTAACGCTCACAATGAAATTTGTTTAATGTTTCAATATGGATTTACAATATTCCTCAAATCTTTGCATAAATATTCGCAATACGATATTTGATTACGTAATATCTGCATGTAAGTCTCATATTAAGAAATTAGAAAATCTTAAATTTTTTTTACAGAGACTTTCGAAGTACGATAATATTTCTGAAAAAGATAATACAAACATTTATTTAATAGTAATAAATTTTTAAGTTTTAGTTGGAAATAGCAAATATATATTTTTAAAAACTAAACACCTCTGCAAAAATTTTTATGCCAGAGAGAGAATAGTCTATATATTAATTCAACTAATTTTATATTAGAATAAATATCTTGAATAAATTTCCGAATATTTTAATAATTATAAATATATACGCATATACAGGGTATGATATTTCACAACTCAATCTTATTGTGTGATAACAGATTCTTGGATTGCAATAGATTTTTCCTTTCCGTAAAACGTCGAAAGAAGTTATTATTTATTGCAATCTTTCAATTTTTCAATTACATATCTTTATAACCAAGCCTCAAATTAAAATTTTATTAAAGTCTATTTAAAATAAACTGAAGAATACGATTTTATCTATTTGTGCATCAAAGCTTAGCTCTTTTTACTCATAATGTACAAGAAATAATATATTTTGAATTATAAGTAACATAATATATATTAATAATATATTTATAACCCATATGTTTGCAGAAATTCGATTAATCATAGTTTGCAAATTTTAAGCTCAAATACAAATAATGTTTATAGGAAAATAAAATGAGGGGATAGTAACTAATTCATAACAGGAAATTACATTAGATATAAATATTGTGTTTACCATATTTTGTCTTATCTATTTAATTATATATGTATATATGAAATATTACAAAGATCAATATACAGAAAACCAATGTGGATTTTAAGAGAGCTCGAGGCGTTGGTTGATAAGTGTACCACGATTGCGATTACGGATTTACTGAAATTCACACACATTTATCAATATTTCTCAAATAAAAAAAAGAAAATTAGAGTGCAGAATTATTTTACATCTAAATTTGAAAACAAAAGATATTGAAGCGAAGCAGAAGAAGGAATAGATTTAATTTTATGGACACATATTTCTGCAAAGATAAAGTATCTGTCGCAAAGATTACTAAGTTGCTGATTGCTTATGCTAGTTCGTACCAAAAAAATAATATTAATTTACAATAAAGGCCGTACTCATCCCTACATACAGCATACACATATGAATCTGTTAAGTATAATTTTTTCCGAATAATCTACGAATGACTTGAATAAACTTCCAGCGAGGGAATAACCTTAATTCAAATGAAATCCTCTTTCACGGGTAGCAGCAAGTAGCCGTTCCTTTAGAATTTCTTCGGTAGGATATTCTGGTAATTTTAAGTAATGAACACAGGTATTAACTGAAGGATAACCGCCAGAGCCAGCGTCCACTTTCCGCACGATAGTCAATCTAGGATATAGATTACATAAACCTCCTGGAGGTAGAGCTGAACATCCAGTAGCAAATTGTAAGAATGCTTTTCTTTCAGAACCGGTCAATGACAATAGCACGTTGACAAATCTTTGGAAACCAGGACTGAAAAAAATGCAATAGTGAAACAATATGCAATAGACACTATCCGTTATACAAATCTTACTTTTCAATCTACTCAAATTTCTGAGAATTACGCAGAAGTTCAAATACAATAGCCTCGATATTATCTTACCTTTCTTTTGTGTATCCCAGTTTTGGCTCAGTGTAATTGAGTAAATCTTCTCTCGTCCACTGCGGATTCTGTTCACCACAAAGCATAGCTCTCATTTCCTCTGGACTGAAAACGTGGAGTTTTTCCATCGGAAAAACTTTCGAGAAACCTGACTTGAATGCTTCAAGTTGTCTACAAATTCCTTGATTGAGACAATAATTGACCGTAAGATTAATATATTCTCTTGCATTTTCTTTCGTCACTGCTATATCAGAGCCACCTTCCACCAATTCCGCTTGATCGTGTTGGAAAACTGTCGAGCTCGGCGAATATGTCATGCTTAATGCCAAATCTTCGATAACTACAGAAGTGCCCGACGGATAAGTGATGTATAATGACGTTTCCTCATCGGCAGAATTTAGACCATCAGAAAAAGTTCTATCACGTTTAGTAATTGCGTTTTGTATTTCTTTTAAAAACTCTCCTCTTATGGGATCCACCTCGGCGAGATCGTCTATGTTTAATAGATCAGCATACCATGGAGAAGATTCCAGCGAAGAGCATGTGGCATCGATCTCGCCTTCCTCCGATATAAAGCTGCTCGACATGCTGGACGACATGCTTTCTTGCGTAACGCCGGTAAGACCGATTTTCTCGTTGACATTGTTTGATATATCACCGCGGCACATTAATTTTAAGAATGGACGGGACAGTGGTAGATCTACTAATCTATTATCTTGGAGAACCTTTGCCAAGAAGACTCCTAGGAACCAAAAATATCGAACAGCGCGATCGCAAGCTGCTGAATCTTGCGGCAACGGAGCTGGGAACAGACCGCTGGCTCGTGTTACGTAATATCCCGCAGGCCGGATCTTCTCTCCGGAAATACAGGACTCGTCGCTCAAGATCTGCGTATTATCATCGTCTGAGGCGTCGTCGCATAGCCAAAGCCCCAAATCTTTACGCTGTAATTCCGCTGCGACCAATGCGAAGAATTCCAAAGTAGGTCCCAGACCGGTACCTTCTTCTCCCACAAACGCCACTTCGAGTATACTCTTGCGACTTGCGTGCATCTGTAAAGACAAACGGGAAAAATAATAATAATAATAATAAAAAAAGAACTATTAATGTATTCTTACTGCAATTTTTATACCTTCAACACTTGTTCCGCCCAGTCTAGCAACTTTTCCCCTCTAGGTACGCTGACTCTTTCATGCTTAAGTCTCCCGACACGGAATTCATGACTGTCGTCACGTCGTGGACTCAAACCCGGTGCTCTTTGCCTTTCCAGAATTGCGTCGCGCTGCGTTTGCAACCATACAATAGACCGTGACGCACCGAAAGCGGTGCAACTGAAGTAGAGTCGTCTAGTTTCGAAAGGTAACAAAAATGGACAGCTTCGCGCGAGTTCTTCGCACCAATTGGGCAATGCACCGGCGGCCAGAGCCAGTGGATCCTGAATCTGCTGTATGATTTTGTTCGTAATTTTCTTGGACGTAAAATCATCCGGATGAAGCCAGTAGGTTGTTTCGTTTGGTTCTTCCTGTTCCAACAAAGTGTCATCATCTCGAATAGTGCCCAAAACAAACACGTGTCTCAGAAGCTGCAAGACATCCTCCACAGTACACGCATTTGCATTCTGCGCAGAGTTACGAGAGTACAGTGTCACGATCGGTGTCGCTCTACCGGATGATTCCTCGTCTCTGGCTTCCTTGTATATTATGCTGCATAGAAAAATAAAATATGCTCAATCAAACCATTTACTTGTCTAGAATGTAGTGTAATATTAATGAAAAACAGATCGTTACGTGTAAGTAGGTTCCCATATCCTTTTTAATTTTTCTTGGCGGCTGCCCAATTCAGTTAATTGCATTAATTCCTGAACCGCTTGGAAAATACTAGCGTGCGGATCCGAAAGCGGTATCTCGACGTCGGATATTCCTGGAAATCCTGGCCCTTTCAATGATAAAGAAAGTCTAGGCATTGGTAGCGATCCTATGCGACTATTAATTTGCGCTTCGCTTCCGGGAGGAGGAACTTCCAAGTCCGTTGTCTATTACGCAAATATTTCAAATAATGCAACATTCTATTTACATAAAATTAATGCACATCATATTTATGATGCATTATTTACTTGATTGATATTCGTCCGGCCAGGACGTGGATCGAAAGCAGGAATGAGAGCGGAAAACTGACGCTTCAATACAAATTCATCGTCCCATGCACGTCTTTTACTATTCTGTGGTACTTCTTCCTCCATAAATGCCGCTAAAAGATTGCGGCTTACCATTACTTCTTCGTATTCACCTTCACAACCATCACCTTCTTCTTCATTTTCCTCATCTTCTTCCTGAAATAATATAACAATAATTATGATTTATTATATATGATTTTTTTTATCTATCTTTATTAAATTATTTTAATTAAACAATCTAGAATATATATAGTATGTAACAAAATATTGCTTACACTTACATCTTGATCATTTTCTTCGTTATCTTCTTCTTCTTCCAAAACACCGTCTTCGTCATCCTCTAATTCAGTCAAAAGCGTATGTCCGCCTGTGGTTCGGCCTCCGCCAGTGCTAGAGGTTGCTACACCTCCGCAAGATTCTAAGAAATCTTCGAGACTAACCTGAAATTATAAACATTTCTTATATTAAAATGGAAAAAATTAGATACAAATTATAATACATTGCACGGCATTTCTTAAATAATTGCAAATCGATTTTGAGAATATATTTTCATGTAATCTTATCTTATTTATTCATTAACTAATCTAATTATTTAAAAGAAAACAAACGGTAATTTTACTTGCTCGCTATCGCTACTTGTACTAGTCAGAGACATCGTAAGCGCTTGTCCTAAGCCTGGCCCAGTTGTCGTAGTAACGCCGCTACCAGCCACTTGTCCGCTACTCGTCAGACTTGGATAACTTTGCGCAGTACTAAGTAATCCACCAGGAAAATTAGGACTAAGTGCCAATCGTACGAGACTAGATACAGAATTCGGTCCTCGTGTATTCGAACTCGTATTAGAATTTGAAGTGAGATGCTGTCCACCCGTAGGTCCTAAAAAATGTATATTTTCCTTCTTATCAAAAATGTTCATCTATCTCTTAAGTAAAACGACGAAAATATTCGAAATTGCCAAATTATTATCGTTGGAATATAATTAAAAATCTATCTATAATTAAAAAATATTTTTATTTATATTTTTATAGAAATTATGAATACTTATTATCCTAAGTAAATGCATTTTTTCTCATCTCAATACATATAATTATTTAATTTGAAACTGACCTAACGTTCGTCTCCGTGCCATTGCAGCGAAAGTTTCCAATAAACCAGTAGCAGCTGTTGGTTCCAAGGTGTTGTTAGCATCGGAACAAGCGAGATTAGGCACAGATACTGACATGGGATTGGTAACCACAACAGGACAATCGCCCGTTGCATTTTGCGTAGATGAGCTAGCTTCTTTCTCTCGAGTACAGTCTTTAGCAACTAATTCGAAGGAAACGTATGGAATTTTTACATAATCAGCACGACATATCAGCACGAGCACGATATATCGGCACGATATATCAGCACGAGCACGTGGGAAGGAAATTAATGTCGGTCAAAGATTACAATGTGCTGCGGTCATGTACCTTCCGCATACGCGAACATGAATGATTTCAAAAAATACGTTGTTACAAATAATTAATTTGACATATGTTTCACTTAAATGTGAGTATATCAAAAGATATGCAGGAAAAGAATCATGAAAATGTACATACCATCTGTGATTCCAGTAGGATGATGTCTTGGTACGGATTTAATTCTTAATGAGTTTTCGTCCGACTCGCCAGAAACACTGATCCTAACCGGAACTAAGCCAAGTAGCTCGCCGTTCAGAAAACTATTGGTATTGTTCCGCAATCTGTCGGCACCCTCTCGCATGCGATCCAGAACTTCAGCTGTTTCTAAGCTCAGTAAGCCTCCACTAGCCTGGTCGTTTCATATATAAGATACAGTTTACATACAAGATGTAATATTTTGATAATAGAAATGGATTTGCTCTCAATAATATACCTTGTTTCCTCTTACAGTGGCGAAAAGAGGTTTCGAGCTAGACGCTCGATTGCTATTACTGTTAACTGGGCAATCTGTGTTGAGGGCGAGGCTCTCGACGATAGTAGCTAGATCGCTAACGGTTGTGTCCGGTCTGGGATGCAATACAACGGAAAGTTCACTCGTTGAGTTCGCCCCACTCTCACCAGTTACAGCGACCACCGCCTCGGCACGGGCTACCGACAACACACTCTCGGCTATCGACTCGGCAGCTTGCTGTTTATAAAAAAGAACGACTCTCGTATTATTATGTCAATATTTTTTGCGCACTAAAAAAGAGTGACTCTCGTATTATGTCAATATTTTTTGACTGACAAAACGTATGAGAAATGAGTAAAAACGTACCTTTGCCGCTAGATTGTCCGCGCTCGCGGCTTGATCCGTGGAAGCTACCGACCCACGCATAGCGGTATCGGTGCAATCGGGTAAACTAGGAGTACTACTTGACTTTCGACCAGTTAAAACTCCTCCGCTACTTTTACACTTCGCCGTATTATCCGTTTCCAGACCAGTGCCGACTAATCTGAGATCATACTTTCCTTCCGCGCCCATTCTGTACGAGTTAGAGCCACCGTGATCCCATGTTACATCTATCCATCCATTATGCAACTCTCCCGTTACTGTGCCTTCACCTACACCAAGCAATCAAAATGCGAGCATATGTAATACGATGCGTCAACACAAGTATTAATTTATCAATTAATATAGTTTATAAATCCCATCATATACCTGGTGGCACACCGTCCTGATCTCTCCACTTCCAGTCCAGACCTCTGGCAACTCTAACTCCCGCGACCAAATGCTTGAGAACTTGCGTTTTGATGAATCTTCTCTGCTTTCGCACGCCGGCCTCGGCTTCCTTAGCCGCGCGACCCAAGTCTTCGCACACGCCGGTTACCTCGCCGTAGACCTCAAAACCAGACACGGATAGATAATGCGTTTGCGCTGAAGCGTTCTTTCCAATTTGCTGTAAACGCAAATGTCGCCAGCCTTGTGCTTCTTCGTTTGGAGGCTCTAATGTCCAGGTAGCCGTGCTGCCTGGCTCATTTAGAGAGCAATCATCCACATGGGCGTACAGTGTCACCCACGTGATGCCGTCCTTCGACGCTTGAAACATCCAATTCCTCAATGCGCTTCTGCCATAACCTCTCGCGTGTCTTAAGGTATACGCGTTTGGAATAACCCACACTCCGAGATCTATCGAGAACCAGGCACGCTTGTCGTCATTAGTGTGGCAGTTTAACGCCGATGGATCACGACTAAGTATATCCTCGAGATGACCGTATGGTAGATTCCTTCCATCGCTCGATGTCACGACAACTAGACCGTATTGAGCCGGGTTCACCCACTCCGAACAAGTCTTAGCGTTTGTCCCGATCCAATACAACAATCCGTTCTCGTCGAAATCATGCTGATACTTAAACGTTATTCTATTTTCCTCCTTCAATTTTTTCACAAATGTAAATGTAGATCTGTCGTGATCGTGCCATTGCTTGGCTACCATTTTTAACAAATGATTCTCCAATTGCTGTATCGTGCTCAACGGTTCCATTTTTAAGCTGCGACCAGATCGATCTATCAGCGCGCTCTCGCCAGACGCTTTCTCCAGTCGAAAACGTAATTTTCTCGTCAAAATCTGCGGGAAACGTCAAAGTTAGGCGTGGAAAATTATATATGCACACAGCGATGCATACGCAAATGTCACATACCTGTAAGCCGTAGCCTGATCCGGGTGTGTCATATAGATAAACTGGTAATTTCTCTATTGATTCTAGCACTGAAACTAATTTATGGACTAAAATTTTAGCTGAATTATGTTCCTTATTCGTGTCTTTTGTATGAAAGCAGCTTTTAAATACAGTTATCCTCTGCATTCTGAGTTTAATCGTCCTCAATGTCGGAGGCGAGGGTCCAGGAGGTGCGGCCAATAAAGCGAGCAACGCTTGTACGAGGCCACTGGAGTGCAATTCGTACGCGGACACCCGACCTTCTTCGTTCAACAATACCTTAAGTTGCTCTAATGCGGTTTGTAATATATTACGCCACTCGCGATTCCCAGACTGTTGCTTCTGTGATGCTTTCTCTATTTGACTAACAATGGTACCAAGTTTAGCGACTACGCCGCGTGGTTGCGCTTGAGCTGCTTTAAAGTAACACTCGTATATCTCTTGCGCTTGTACTTTGACCTTTTGTTTAATCGCTTCAATTTTTGATCGTAATCTTTTCCCTCTTTTGCCAGTCCAACCCGCTGCAAATTCTGGGCCTAAATAAAATTATAATTGTCATAAAATTTTTTCAGAATCCTAATAAATCAATATAAAAAAATAAAAATTAAATATTTTTTTCATACCTAAACTTGTTTCTGCCGTGAAAGAATGTTTGGTGCCTCTATTTGATTCAAAGATAAAGCCTGGTAGATCCTCTCTTAAAATGGTTGCTTGTTGTTGGCCATCGCTATTATGTATACACAATTCGCTTTCCTTTCTGCTTGATAACGCCCAATTTCCTACGACCAGCCGCGTAGTACCAGGCCGAGTAAGCACAGGCTGACTTACAAAGTTCACTTTTAACTGACTACGTGCCCTTTGCAGTTTCTCCAGAAATTCACCACGATTTTCTGCAATTAACGAATATTATCTTACATAATTCATTCTTTTGAAAAAAAAAAGATAAAAGTAAATATTAAAAGATGGAATGTATAGTATCATATTAGAAGAAAAAAAGGCATGGGTTACGATAAATATTTTCACGTAACTTGTACAATGTACCGAAAGATAGTACAACGTGTAAGTCACTATACACGAGCTAAACATTTATATGACCTACCTTCAGTGGTAAGCGATTCTGTGTTCCTCCCCTTTCCTGTAGGCAGTTAGTAAAACCAGTTATATTTTCTACATAGTTTCCCCTCACAAAAGTTAATCACATATGAAAAATATAAAATGACATTGGAAAAAA